ATAGTATTCCAGAATTTTTTGAAAAATAATACATTTAAATTGGAAAATCTGGTTTAATTCAATAAGGATGAATAATTTGCCACCTTCATATATTTGAGAAAAAATAGTTATTTATACATTCCTAAATAACCTTGCCTGTGATGAGGACATCCTTGCTGCAATAGTGTTTCAGCAAGAGATAATATGAACTACATAAGGGGGCGGGGCCCACTCATGTGATGTGTTGCCCTGCCCATCTTGTGAAAAACTAAGGCTGCGTTTGCTTGTGACATAAATGCAAATATGTACTCTGCGTAAATACCTTCTCTTCAGTTCATGAATGCAAAATGGTTCAGAGTTGTAAACCCATTTTGTACTCTTCTTGTTTGTTTCATGTTGATGTAAAGAGCTGTATGGCGGTCTCTCTCTTGCTTGATTGACGTAATAAGTAAGCCTATGTACATCGAGATCCGAAGAGCACAAGTTTGTATCCATCGAATGGATACACTAATGCACTCTCCTCACGATATGAATATGTCAGAAAAAAATTTTTCCCCTCTTAATTGATTCACTTTTGTATGGCAAACAAACGCTCACAAACCCTAACTAGGGTATTTATACCCCAGTTCGACGTTTGTATCGCAAACAAACACAGCCTAAATGGAAGTTCAAAAAGGAAAACAAAACGTTGTGGTGACTTTTGGCATTCTCTCCCTTGTGAGAAAAAGACAAAGAGAAAAAGTAGGGTTTCTTGTCTTGTTCTATTATTAGTGGATAGTGGGACCTGCACTCCACCATCTTCCTTTGGCTTCCTCTACAAGCCTTCTTTGTTGTAGAGTGCAGAGAGACTTTAGGGAACTCCATATGTAAGGTGATACATCTTAGTGAAAAGAAAATAGAAAAAAAAGAAAGGAAATACAAGGGTTTTCTCTTGAAGCTAGAAGAAGATAAGGCATCCTTCTAGACAAGAAGGCTTGGTGATATCCAATAAAACATACTTCTTTTGATGTGGATGCCTCTAGTTATTGCTAGAGAGATTATTGTACCCCATTATTCTTGTTGATAGTGGAGGATATTTGGACATCGTCCCATAGTTTTTACCCTCATATTGTAGGGTTTTTTCATGTAAATCTTGGTGTCTCTATTATTTCTCTCTTTGTATTTGATTAATTGTCTCTATTTCTTTGTGCTTTTTATAGTTGAATTTCTTAGTTTTTCACAAGGAAGACATAAGGGTTTATTACCCCAACACTACACACTCTTCCTTTTTCATTTTTCTATCTCCTTTTATGTATTTCTCCACTTCCCAATCAATTAAATTTCATGAATAGAACTGGTCTATAGTGCCTTGATTTTGATATTTACATCTGTGATTTCTTTGATTCTTTCTTTATATTTGGAGGATGGATGGTTAAATTTTCTTGGACGATAATGGAATTTTTACAATGCATCTTCTTGCAAGAGTTAATTCATTTTAGATTCTGTTAGAGTTGGTTGAGTAGGAGTAACTTAGTCTTTTCATTATACTTTAAGTGGTGACTATAGGGGCATATTTGACTTTGTACCCCTTATGAATACAATAAAAGGTTATGGTCGACTAGGAGGGGATTGACTCTCTAGTTTGACAGATTTCTCCTTTCTTAATTCATTTTAGATTCTGTTAGAGTTGGTTGAGTAGGGGTAACTTAGACTTTTCATTATACTTTAAGTGGTGACTTGGCAATACTGTTTTGTTTTAAATTTCTTCTTCTTTTCTTAGACTTGTGATCTCTCCTCTTCTTCTTCTCTCCTTTTTCTGGGCTGTGATCTGGGTTACACAAAGTAGAAGGCTGCAACAACCCTTTTTGGTGATTCCAGGATTGCCATAATCTCCATTACAGGTGTTAGGAGGGTGCGACAGCCCTAGGTTGGTGATTCTAAGACTTCTGTCTCCATGAGTGACAGCCTTAGTGTTCGTGTTGTCGTGTGTATGGTGGTTCAGACCCTCTACTGAGCAGTTTCAAGAGGGGTTTTCCTTGTTTGTTGCAGCTATGGTGGTTGGTTAACAGTAGTGATGTGAGATTTTTCTTTTTTCTTGAGCAAGATGGTTGAATGTGTCTGAATGGTGCCTGGTTGAGAGAGTGTCATGAGGTGATGTATAGACTGCAGCAGTGTTGACTTAACAGCAGTATTTTTTTTTGTTGGTTGATAATTCAGAATTAGAAAAGGTAATTGATAGTTACCTGTATTGAGAACACCATAGCAGCAACCGGAGATGGTGGTAGTGATCAGAAATCTAGTGTGATGATCCCCTCAGACTATTTAGGTGTGCAGATGACATCAATTAAACTTAATGGTGAAAATTATGTGCCATGGGCCAAGTCACTGGAGGTTTTTCTCGAGGCCAAGAGGAAGGTGAATCTCCAGGGTTTGATGATTGGGAACAAGAGGATGCCCAAATCATGACATGTTTATGGAACAGTATGGAACCCAAGATAAGTGTAAACTTTATGTTCTTAGATATAGCCAAGATAGGTTGTAAATGGGTGTATACTGTTAAATATTTACTAGATGGTAGTGTGGAACGATTGAAAGCCCAACTGATTTCTAAGGGTTAGTCTCAATTGTATGGGGTGGATTATATGGAAACCTTCTCCCCTGTGGCTAAGATTGGTTCAGTTCGTGTCTTGATTTCCATGGCAGTTATGTATGATTAGGGATGACAATTTTCCCCATTTCCTCGATCCCCGTGGGGAATGGGGTGGGGATGGGGAAATTTTCATCCCCGTTAGCGGGGACGGGGTAGGGACGGGGAGAGCACTCCCCGCCCCGTGGGGACCCCGATCCCTGCCCGTGGGATCCCCACTAATATATATGTATATATGTATATATGTATGTATACATTATATATGTACACATACGTCTATATATTAATGTTTTAAAAATATGGTTGAATATGTTTGAATCTTTTTTAATAGATTGTAAATTTTAATTATTTTATTTTTAATTTTTAAATAAAATAAAAAAACAAAAACAAAATTATTAACATTATAAAAAATTACGGGGAATGGGGATCCCCATGGGGATGGGGACGGGGATAACCATGTCCCCGTTAGCGGGGATGGGGACGGGGACGGGGATGGGGAGAGGCTCCCCGTCCCCGCCCTGCCCCGTTGCCATTCCTATGTATGATTGGCCTTTTTTCAGCTTGACATTAAAAATTCCTTCCTCCACAGTGATCTTTTGGAGGAGGTCTACATGGAGGAACCACCACGGTTTGTTGCTTAGGGGGAGGATGGTAAGGTGTGTAGGCTCAAAAAGGCAATTTGTGGGATGAAACAGTTTCCTCGTGCTTAGTTTGGAAAGTTCAGTGAAGTGGAGAAAGATTTCGGAATGAAATAATGTCAGGTCGATCACTCAGTGTTTAGTTATGATTCTGAAGCCAGAAAGATTTCATTAGTGGTTTATGTGGATGATATAGTCAACTGGTAGTGACAAACTAGGGATTGACAGGCTAAAGGCCTTCCTGCAAGACCATTTCCAAACAAAAGATCTTGGGAAGTTGAAGTATTTCTTGTGTATAGAAGTTGCCAGGTTGAAACAAGGTATAAATTTGTGCCAAAGAAAATATGTTCTTGATCTATTGGAAGAAACAATATTTTTAGGTGCTAAACTAGTTGAAACACCCATGGAACCAAATGCTAAGTTTAGCAGTAATGTAGGTGAAATGATGATCCTGGAAGATATAGACGTTAATGGGGAAGCTGAACTACCTACCCATTACCAGACCAGACATCTCCTTTGCTGTCAGTGTGGTGAGCCAATTTGTGCAAAACCCCAAGTACCTCACTAGGACGCAGTTCTTAGAATTGTATGGTACTTGAAGGGAGCTCCAGGTCATGAGTTATTGGACAAGCCAAGAGGAAGTCTTGAGATAGTTGGGTATACAGATGCAGATTGGGCAGGCTCGGTGTCTAACAGGACATCCACTACAGGTTATAGCACATTTCTTGGAGGAAATCTGGTGACATGGAAGAGTAAGAAGCAAACTGTTGTGGCGAGGAGTAGTGCTGAAGCTGAACACAGGGCCATGGCACACACCACATGTGAACTAGTATGGTTGAAAAATCTTCTGCAAGAAGTTGGGTTCTCAATGAGCAAACCTATGAGATTGTACTGTGACAACCAAGCTGCAATTCACATCTCATCCAATCCAGTTTTTCATGAGAGGACGACACATAGAGGTTGATTGCCATTTTGTAAGGGAGAAAGTCCTTACTGGAGAGATAAGCATAGAGCACATTAGTTCGGGTAATCAATGGGCAGACTTGTTCACAAAAGGTTTGAGTTCAGGGAGAGTGAATTATATATGTAAGAAGCTGGGATTATATGACATATATTCTCCAGCTTGAGGAGTGTTAGAGTTGGTTGAGTAGGGGTAACTTAGTCTTTCATTATACTTTAAGTGGTGACTTGGCAATACTGTTTTGTTTTAAATTTCTTTTCCCATACTTAAGTAGGGGCATATTTGACTTTGTACCCTTAATGAATATAATAAAAGGTTATGGTCAATTAGGAGAGAATTGACTCTCTATTTCGACAGATTTCTCCTTTCTCTTCTTCTTCTTCTTCTTCTTCTTCTTCTTCTTCTTCTTCTTCTTCTTCTTCTTCTTCTCTCTCTCTCTCTCTCTCTCTGAACAGAACTTATCTGAACCATCAAAACAGATTCATTAATAGTCACTAATGAAGTTGCATCACTTTATCCTAGCTCTATGTGTCACTTGATGCATCTTGATTTCCCTTTCTTAGTAATGTTCTATGGGACTTTCTTTCATGTGACATCTAAGATAAGTTGCAGTTTCTTGATTTCCCTTGCTTGAATGCACACTGTGATTTGCTTTATTCTAAAGGACATTTTTTGTTTTTAATTTCCTCTTCTGGTTTTTTCTTTCCTGAATTTTTTTCATATTTAATTATAAAAACCTTGTGAAAATAGCCTAAAACAAAGGGCATGATAATATCTCATACATTTATGTTTGCAGGCCTCCAATGCCTACCTTCAGTTCTTTCGAGGTGCTGGAACAAAAATGTTATTTGAATTTGTTAAAGAAATGCCTAAACCTGGAATAAAGCTTAGCTTGGATTTCTCTTCTCTTCTTAGTGCACTTTTCTTTACATGGGTCATTTTGCAACTTTTCCCTGTAAGTACAGGATATGCTGACTTTCTATATCAGAACTTAAGCAGATTATAGCAAGTATTCAGGATTGTATGAATTTTTCAATGTAGATCTTTATATTTGAGAATATTTTAACACCTACTTCATCTGCTAATAAATTCTTCTATCAGTTATCTGTCTAACTTAATCTCATCTGGATGTGCTTTGAAACTGATAGAAATGAAGGCTCTTATTTTAGGAACCAGAAAACAAAATAAGCATTATGGATGATAACTAGCTATTCTTCATTACATATAGGTTAAAGAATCTAATAGTGGTCTATGAATTCCATCTTTTACCCAACAAGCTTGCAATTTTAGAACCCCCACCAACAGCCTTGGGTTCCGGATCCCTATCTACGTGAAAAACTGATTGATATGATGAGACTTGGTATAATAAACAAGGTAAAATGATGCAAGTTAGAGCTATGTCCAAAAACTATGGATTTCTGGTTCCTGACTTGGAAGAAAATCTCACATGGATCTTGGTATTGGGAAAAGAAGTTTGAGTTATGGAGAGTCATGATAGGATCTTCATGGCAATGGAATTCAAATTTAGTTAGTTCTCCTTGTACACGGTTTTTGTGCAGTTGACATCCCTTAGGTTGGGCAAGGTAGACGATCACAATAAAAAGGACATTATCCAATGTTGGTCCCAGCTATCTAGGGTCTTGGAAGGGGTGTACTGTATATGGTCCTAACTATTTTTTTGTTTGCACAAAGTGGCCGCTCTCAGACTCGGACCTGCGTTCTCATGCTTTCCAGCCTGAGACTTTACCATTACATGAAGTAATGGCTCTAGTCATGATACAAACATGAATTTTCTTTCTATCTATGAAATTATTCACCATGAAGGAATATTTATCCCAAAAAGAGAAAAGGACTATGAGAAACAAATCCCTAACCAGAGCTGTAGCTCTGAGGTTTGTTTTATTTTCAATTCTCTAGTTTCTTTTGTTTTCCTTTAAAGTTGTTTTCTTCTCATAATATGAATCTTGGATGTAGGTTATATTGACATCTCTTGTTTACGAGAAGGAACGGAATCTAAGAATCATGATGAAAATGCATGGCCTTGGGGATGACCCTTATTGGATGATTTCCTATGCTTATTTTCTTTTTATATCATTGACTTACATGTTAGTCTTTGTGATGTTTGGCTCACTTATAGGTACAACATTACTGGGGGAATTGCCTTCCTTTTTTCCATTTATTTTTTGAGTTTTTTTATTCATTTGGTTTCCACATTCACAGGGATAAAGTTTTTCACACTGAATGACTACAGCATACAATTTGTCTTCTACTTCATCTATATAAATTTGCAAATATCACTGGCCTTTCTAGTGGCAACTGTTTTTTCAAAAGTTAAGACTGCTTCAGGTGACAATGTTTGAATAATTTCATCCATTGAAGAGTAAAACCCATGTTTTGAGTTACAGGAGAAGCTGACGTTTTCATGATTGAAATTTGGTGATGGCAGTAATAGGGTACATATGCGTGTTCGGATCAGGGCTTTTAGGTCGCTTTCTTTTTCATTTCTTTGTTGAAGATGCATCCTTCCCTAGTGAGTGAAACTACAATGATCTGCTTCACTGATCCAATTAGTTATACTTTTCCTTATTGCTAACTATAATCGTTCTGCATTTCTTTTTCTCCTTGTTTTAGGAGGCTGGATTATAGTTATGGAGCTCTATCCTGGATTTTCTCTATATCGTGGACTATACGAGTTTGGACAGTATTCCTTTCTGGGAAGTTATATGGGGATTGATGGGATGCAGTGGAAAGATTTGAGTGATAGCACGAATGGGATGGAAGAAGTCTTAATTATCATGTTTGTAGAATGGATGGTAGTTCTTCCTGTTGCATATTATTTAGATCAAGTTTTAGCATTAGGAAGTGGTGTTAGAAAGCACCCTCTATTTTTCATGGAAAAATTTTGGAAGAAGCGCTCACCATCTTTCCGAAGGCCCAGTTTGAGAAGACAGGGATCCAGAGTTTTTGTTCAAATGGAGAAAGCTGATGTTTCCCAGGAGGTAACGTTGTCTAGTGTGTACTTTATGCATTTTTTGATTTATTGGGATTTCAGAACATTATAGCTGGTGTATTTGGACCTAGAGGGATGGGACTCACTGAAGTACAGGTTACTTCTGGATGATCTCCTGGGTGAAATGTGACCTGAGTGGATCTTCTTAACCTTTCCATCAACATAATAACATGATTGTTACTTCACTTTGTACTAATTTTCCATTAACTATTTATCACATTATTTTACACATTAAAATGAAAAGATAGAGATGATTGTCAACTAGGCCACACATCTCATCTTTGCTCCACTTGTAAAACCACTTGTAGACCATTTTATGATTTTTTCCATTTGTTTAATTTGATCTTCAATTTTCTTTCAAAATTTGCAAGTTTGGGTTCAAAAATTGCAAAAGTTTCTTGTAACTCATCTCCTTGTTTCTGTGCGTGGATGTCAACTTCATAGTTTTTACTCTTGTTTCAGAGAGAGAAGGTTGAACAATTACTACTTGAACCACGTGTAAATCATGCCATCATCTGTGACAACATCAAAAAGGTGTATCCAGGGAAGGATGGAAATCCTGAGAAATTTGCAGTCAGAGGGTTGTCTCTTTCTTTGCCTCGAGGGGAATGCTTTGGTATTCTAGGTCCTAATGGTGCTGGAAAAACTTCTTTTATCAATATGGTAAATAGATAGTACCTTGTTTGGCTCTGCAAAGTGCAAATCATTTCTTGATTCTCAAATTATGAAATTGTTGTTAATAATAATAATAATAATTAAATGTTTGTGGATCACTAAATGTTGCAGAACACCATTTGCCTTGGTTCAGTTATTCTATTAAGAACTATTCTGTATACATAAATTAGCTGTTCTGCAATTCACCACCCAAATTTATTTATTGTAGCTCTTATTGTTCATAAATGGAGACAACAATTGCAGAATGGAGAATGATAATGATGGTTCATTCTACAACATCTGAATGTTTTTATGGTTCTGTTAACAGATGATTGGGCTGATCACTCCAACATCTGGCACAGCATTTGTTCAGGGATTGGATATTCGGACTGATATGGACAAAATATATACCAGCATGGGCGTATGCCCACAGCATGAGTAATCTAGCATTGTTCTTTCTTCTGTGTAGAAGAAAATTATTTCTTTACTGATTACAGAGGTTGCATTTCTTCCTTATTTTTCTGTATGTTATTTTGCACTATCACAGCCTACTCTGGGAAACTCTAACTGGAAGGGAGCATTTGCTATTTTATGGAAGACTGAAGAATCTAAAAGGTGCTGCCTTAACACAAGTAAGTTGGTAGTGCTCTCTCTTTTATTATGTTTTTTTACCCTGGATTACACTTTGAACTAGTGGTTGTATGTGTTACATGATTCTTGTTATTCAAAAGACATTATTCCAGTTGTAAGCATATGGGATTTGGAAATCTTGAAATAGAGAATAGTTTGATTTGATCAAATGGTAAATAAGTTTTTTTTTTCTTTTTTGTTGAGGAAAAAGGTTAAGTATTGTATTACTCAAAAAACAATCCAAATCTGCACAAGGAACTGTGCAGTGCCCAATCAGATCTGTACATCTTCTAATCTGTATATTCTGTGTGCATAGATACAAAAAGAGTTCCAGAATAAAAAGAACGAGCTATAAGGCTTATTCCTGAAAAATCTGTGTGTTCCTACCCATGAATACAACTTACCCCAAAGACCTCTCAGTAAATTTTCTTCTGTAATAAACTTATTTTCAAACAGTCTTTTGTACCTTTCCATCCATATTGTCCAAACCACTATAGCTGGTCCTACTCCCCAAATAACCTTGCCTTCTTTAGAAAGACTTTTCAGCTGCCAACTCCTTAGTACCCCGCCAACAAATTTTCTGGAAAACAAAATTGAACTTCAAACAGTCACAAAAACCTTGCCCAAAGGTTTCTTGCAACTGTGCAATGAATCAGCAAATGATCTGAATCCTCAGAAGCTCCCCCACCCATTACAAACCTGCTAGGCAACACATTCAGACCTCTCCTAGCCAAGACATCCGCTGTCAAACACTTACCCAGCACTGTCACCCACAATAAAAAAGCAGCTTTTGGAGGGGCTGCAGTATTCCACACTTTAGTTGCTGGGATGTCCATCCTCTCCACCTCTGTGAGCTTATTATAGAAGGATCTAACTGTGAAATTACCTTCTTTATCCCATATCCAGAATCTCTTATCCCTGCTCATACTATCAGGTGTAATGGCAGTGATTTGCTGCATCAGCTCCATCCACATCTCAACCTCCCAGTCATTTAGATTCCTTCTAAACATAGGGCACCAAACTGCTGAACCTCCTACCCAAGAATAAGCCTCAGCAACCAGACACTCTTTGTTCTGTGCAATCTCAAGGAGGATAGGGAAGCTCTCTTTAAGTGGATGATCTCCACACCACCAAGTATCAGACCATAATTTGATTCTGGTGCCATCTCCCACTGTATACTTGATTCCTTTTCTAAACTCCACAAGAGCTCTTTGAATGCCTCTCCAAACAGCACACCCATAAGGCAAGCTTGTCTCCCTTGGCTCCCAGCCTAAATCACCGGCACCATACTTTGCTAAAATAATCCTTTTCGATAAAGTATCGGGTTGCTCATTCCATCTCCAAAGCCACTTGGCAAGACAAGCCACATTAAACTTCCTAAGCTTCCTCACTCCCAAACCCCTTGCTTTCTTTGGACCACACACTTTGCTCCACTTAACCATTTAAGTGGTTAAGTAGATTAGCCATTTAAAGAGAAAATTTCCTTTTATGTTCTTTAAATGGAAAGGTAGAATAAGAGAAATTAGTTTTCTATACTACTTTTAACAGGATATTTTGATTCAAAGTTCAGATTATATCACTTTTGATGATCCTTGTTAATTGACCAAGCTATTCTGAATCATCATAAAAGAAGAACTGTATGACTCAACCTACCTATAAATTGATTGGTGTAATGACTGAATCAAATTAGTTTGTGACTGAGGAACCAGAGTGCCATCCCCCAACCAATCTTCACATGTGCCACTTGTCCACTGTCCAGTTGTCCTAAAAATTTTTAGGGATGCCAAGGAAACTTGAACAGATGCGCTCAAGGGCTTTTTGTCAATACATTTGGGAAAATTACAAGACATTATGGTAGCTTTGGTCAATAGATTTCAAGCTGTGTTGTCCTTATACAAAGATGTCTTTGAAATGGACTGAGAGGCAGTCACTTGAATATTGGCAAAACTCCTATATTTTGATGACTTACTGTCAAATGAGAAATGATTAGAAGATGCTGAGGCGAGTATATCCTGATCCCCAAATACGTACACACATAAAAGTTTGTATGTCATGTTGAAATAACTGTAATCATGAGAGTGATCTGATTATTGTTTTGTTCAGTCTGACAAGTGAATCTTATAAAACTTCCACTATTTTTTCTTTTTTTCTCTTCTTTTCTGGTCTACTTCTTCAGGCAGTTGAGGAATCTCTTAAGAGTGTCAACCTATTTCATGGAGGTGTTGGTGATAAACAATCTGGGAAATACAGTGGGGGTATGAAAAGGAGGCTTAATGTTGCCATTTCACTGATTGGAGATCCTAAAGTATGCCTTAATATATATTACATCTGACTAGTAATGCTAGTTCTCATTTGTGCACACACACACACAAACACACAGACAAACATACACACACACACACACACAAGTTTCCCTGCTATGTTACTTATGGTGTAACTCTTGGGAATTCTGCAAGGTTGTCTATATGGATGAGCCTAGTACTGGATTGGATCCTGCCTCAAGAAACAATCTGTGGAATGTTGTTAAGCGTGCAAAGCAAGATAGAGCCATCATTCTCACCAGTAACATATTCATTTACTTTTCTTTCTAAGTTTTGCACTTGCATCATACAAACAATAAAAGTTGAAGATGCTTGATGTTTCTAACATCCCCCCCCCCCAAAGGAGAAAAAAAAGGGAACCAGAAGACCTAACCTAGGTAATTAAATTCATTGCTTCAGCTCATTCCATGGAAGAGGCAGAGGTTCTATGCGACCGTCTAGGGATATTTGTTGATGGCAATTTACAGTGCATCGGAAATCCAAAAGAGGTAAATATACTTTAACATATTTACATTTGAAGTGTTCGTGACTTTCTGCCTTTTCAGGTAAGCATGAAATGAACTTTTTACCTTGGTTAAATGAAAAAAGATTTAATGTATAAATGGATAGGACTGCAACTGCATTGGATCAAAGTTGGAGAGGAGTAGATCTTAATCTGATCCAATAAGGATCTGCGATATCCAAATTTGATCTAATGTCCTAACAGTTATGAATAAAATAAATTTGAATTTGATTCATTTATATATTTGTATTTGGATATCCAATTCTATTTGAAGCTCAATAAATTTGCACACAATGAGTATAAATTTACAAAATTAAATATAAAACAAGGAACTATATATTGTAAAATGGGCAATCTAAATTCAAAATCCTACTTACATATGTTATAATTGAGTCATATGCTAAAGGACCGGATCAGGAAATATCTGAATTTGACCCAATTATTAAATGGGCCAGATTTAAGTCCAATCCATTTCCAGCTCTTCAAGTGGGTATTCCGCCTTTGAATTTGAATTGGATTAAGTTCTTGTAAACTGAACCTCACAATCTCTGTCGTTGTCTTAACTCTAGAGGGTGACCTGTGCAAATAAAAAGTATATATGCATCAACATAGTATAAATCCTCTTGTTTTAAGGATCCATACTGTTGCAAATTGCTACAAATGGTTTTGTTTGATATAGAATTTCGCAACTGTCAGATTATTGGACTAATTAGTTCCTAATATATACCATCTGCTTGTATGGTCCATGGTCAATAACAGCTGAAGGCCAGATACGGGGGATCTTACGTGTTTACAATGACAACATCTTCAAATCAAGAAGACGACGTGGAGAACTTGGTTCGCAGTCTCTCTCCAAATGCAAACAAGATATACCATATATCTGGAACCCAAAAGTTCGAAATTCCGAAGCAAGAAGTAAAGATTGCTGATGTTTTCCAAGCAGTTGAGAATGCAAAGAAAATGTTCACGATACATGCATGGGGTCTAGCTGATACAACCTTGGAGGATGTCTTCATCAAGGTTGCTCAAGGGGTCCAGGCACTAAATGTGCTATCGTGATTGTTGGGGATGATCCTTATACTACTTAGTTTAATCTTCTCCTCTATGCTGATAATTTCTTTTAATTCTTCGATTATGTAAATGGTTTTGTAGATCTTATTATAGTGACCTTGCAAGTAATCCTCACTTCTGTTCAGTATTTTACTCTGACGTACACTTTCTATGGAAGTTAATCTCTTTCTTTAGGCGTGGAAACCTCTATGAAAGACAACGATGTGCAGGAATTGTTCCACAAAGCAAAAAGTGTATATTAGATCGAACATGTCAATTAATCTTTTTTTCTTTTCTTTTTCTTTTCATTTCGTTTCTTTTCTTTTTTTTTTTGGGGGGGGGGGGAGGTAAGCGGGTAAGGAAAGGAAAGAAAATGGATGGATCCGTTGCTGTGCTTGGTTGACTGCAAAATATAATGAAGAAGAGTTATTTTGGAAAATATCAATTTATTAATGGTTGGTTGTTTCTTATCAGTAAAACAGGGGAGGAAGTAAAATTTTATTCAAATCCAAATTTAAAATGGCGCAAAATAACTTATGCTTTTCTGTCATTTTACTTGGAATCTCAAATGGGAATGCGATTTTACTTTAAAGCAGTTGTGAAGAATCCTAGACTCCTAGTGGGTATCCAATTAATCTCTTTAAAGCAGTTGAACATGAGAAAGGTTTGCTTTCATGGAACTCTTTGCTCCCATAAAACCTAAAATTTAGTATTCCATTTCATCATCCCCATTTCCAAGCTTGTTTTTAGGGTTTCAATCTAACATTGAAAATTTTTAGGAATATGATTCTTCACAATTATTTTACACTTAGATATCCAAATGTGGCACGTATCTGTTTACAGGCTTGTTGAGAAAAACTCAAGAAAACAAATTCGAATGGCACCCAACCTGAAAGTAAAAGTAGAGATAAAAAAAAACAAGCGTAGAGAACACACACAGACTTACATGGTTCGGCTTATAGCCTATGTCCAAGGGCGAAGGAGGCACAAAAATCTACTATGAAGTTGGCAATGGAGAAGAAATACAGAATTGTGCCTTCACATAAAAACCCTAAACCCCAAATATATCCAATGTCTCACACGTCTCTCACAAGACTAAGATTCTGTATATAAGAGAGAAAACCCCAAAAATATACATAACTTTTTGTATTCGGTTCCACCACAAACCACTATGAGAATTTATCTTTGAGTTTTTCTCAAATTAATTTAGAGCAGATTCATGAAGTGGACTTACCACAAAGAATTCAAAGCACACACGTAACAAAACTCTACTAGCATCATATTCAAGAATACAAGACAGACTAAAGCTACAAGTGAGGTAGTGGAGCATCTTAAATTTTATTCAATAAATACAAAGGCGTTAAGAACCACCGTACCACAACCCCAAATGGCAACAATTGTACATTTGTACTCTTAACACATCAGAAGGCCATGAACATTTTACACTGTTTGAGGTTGGATCCATTTAAATTTTGACAAAATCCAAGCCTAAGTCCGGCTATGAATATATCTAATCAAATAATGCAAAGTTTGCACCTGCCACCAGGTTGATTTGCAAGCATTTGTTAGACGCTATTATTTGCATCGCTGCTTGATGTAAAATTTGTGCTTTCTATCTCATTTTCACTTAAAGGTAGTGCAAATTTTTTATTCCAAAACCCGATACAAAATTTTCACTTTCATTTTCTCCCATACAGAACAGTGTTTTAAAACCCAAACCCGTGATCAAACTTCTCTCTTTTGGCCATATGGATCATATGAATCAACCCCATGGCATTTTCAAAGATCAAACCCTAGTGGTCTTCCATATAGTCATATAACAGAACAAAGGTGTTGGGGAGAAAATGGCAGCAGCAGCAGCGTTGATATCTTATAGTAGTAGACTAGCTGTAGCAATGTAAGCTATCTCTCGAGTGGCACTGTGGCCGGCAGCAGCGTTGACAACAATGTTGACATAGCTCAAGGTTCTATCTCCATTGAAGAAAAACAAGAAAATTTTCGAGTTGTCGGATTTAAAATTTATTTGTCATATTAAAAATACAATGTAAAAAATAAATGAATGTTTACGTGTTATAAAATCACATGAATATCCAAATCCAACCCGTAAAATGGGTTGAACCGTTGAACAATTCACTGGTTTAACCATGGTTTTTAAAACCGAACCGGTGACTGAACCGGTTAGGGGTCCAGTTACCGGTTTGAATGGTCTGACTGTTTGACTCGAACGTATTCTGACAAAAAAAAATTAAAAAACGGTCAAAACTGTTCAAATGGTTCGAACGGTTAAATGACCAGTTCAATGGTTTGCTGACCAAAATTAATGGTTTTGGGAAAATACGAAACTGGTCAGGTGACCGATTCCCAATTTTTCCAGTCTGACCATCCGGTCCGGTCTGATTTTGAAAACCATGGGTTTAACTAATGGGTAATGGTTCGTTGTTCAATTCAATAGTCATTTAACTTTAAAGTTTAAATAGGTTTTCGGTAAAATGAAATTCGTCACCCAAATTGATCGTCCTAGGTTGTGTTTGATGATATTGTTGTTTCTACCTGAAATAATCCAAGGTTGTATTTGGTAAGAGTGTAAACTCTGAATTGAAAGAATTTGTTGTAGGCATTTGATAAAAACACATTTATGGTTTGAAAATGACAGTAATTACAAATTTTAAGATACGTTGGCATTCAAAATGAGAGCAAATTAAGTTTGCATCAACTCAAAGATGATCAATATAAAAAATGTGGATTTCAGTCTTGGAATTTGTATTTATATATAGAGATGTCAACGGATTGGATTTAGCATAAGTTTATCTCAATTCAATTCAAACCCGACCCTCCAGTGCCCCAACCCGACTTTAAAATGCATGATTCCCAAACCCGACCTGACCCTATAGGCTGTGGCAGCCTGGTACCTCTCTCCTCTCAAAAAGCGATTACTGATAGCAAATTCTGTGCTATCCAACCGGATGGAAGAGACTCAGCTATATTAAGTTTGTAGTCCTCTTCCAACTTGTCAAAGATAGGCCAGGACCTACAGAAAAGTAATTCAACTGCAAGGCAAATTAGCACAAGTAATAGGCTCGTCCCCATTTGCTCAGAAACATGTAAGACCTTCAAAAGCAAAAGTAATTATTTTGCAATTTTTGATAATGTTTTCTTGCTTAGGCCTTAACTCCCAGTGATAATAATTAGGTTTGGACCTACCGATTATATAAATTCCAAAGGTTTTATATTATAAGTTCGAGTGTTCTCATGCGCTTTTTTTTTTTTGCTTTTTCAGTTTTGGTTGGTTCAGCAAGGACCTTAGATGTTATCGAAGCTTCACAGAGCACCCCCGAAAATTAGAGCAAAAAATGATAAATTGCAAAATCTACATTTAAGACATGAGATCGTCTTCAGTCGGTCCATTCGAACGAATACTGTTCGAATAGTTTTTTACAGCTTTACATTTAGAATATCTCTGTGTTTATGTATTTTATTTTATGGGGAGATATTCCTAATGTAAGGCCATAAAATATGTTCGAACAGGTTTTACACTGACTGAAGCCAAGTTCTTAAGACATTGCCATTGATCTTTTTATTTTTCATTTTTTCTTTTTTCATTCTGATTAAAACAAGACTTTTTAAATAGAATTATTATGAAATTTTAATGAATATTTCCTGAAGTGGGCTCTATATAAATAATTAAGCAAACTTAGATGAATCTTGAAATTAACCAGCGCTGTTGGGAGATCATATCTGTGGATGCTCTACAGAGTGCACCCCACAGGCACCTTACAGAACATCGAACCATGCATTGGAAACATCTTCGGATAACAAGTAGTTTGTGAAAATGGTTAGAAGAATGTAATCACTAAAACTTTACAGGAGAGTGCATCAAATTAAGTATATATAACATTTAACAAGGATTTCATCCTCACACTGTTATCACAGCTAGCCTTTATAGCCGTAAACTGGGAACATCTCGGCGATTGTATGATTTTATTAAAAGAGAGATACTCTCAATGCACAATGCACGGCTATAATAACTATGAAGATGGAACTCAGATTTTATGATGTATTAAAACAAGATTTTAGTTTAGAGTTACAATTTACAACTCACAGTCACAGGTCACGACTCTAAAGCTAAGTCATGGGTCCAATCCAACTGTGCAACTGTCCAAAGACCTCATTGTCTGGACGTGAATATATATATCTATGCTCAGTTGCTCACTATATATACTTTTCAAAAGAATACGTAAGCTGGTGCTTGGTGGGGAGCGGGGGTTAATAAACTAGGTGTTTGATGCATGGTGGACATGTGGCCATATGGGTACATTTTGTCAATTTCTTATTGGACACCTGGCAAGGTACGGTTAGAAAGATACTCTGACACCACTCTTTCCTCGTTTCCTCATTTAGCATTTTCTTTCAGGTGTATGGTGTCTGCGAGCGGTTTCGTGATGCCACTTAAATCTCCGATGATGTGACAGCACTTGACAGGAACCCTTTCTATCCGATCATCCATCGTCAGCATCCGATATAATTGAATCTGATTCGAATTCGATCATCCATCGGATTTGAATTCGATCCGTTTATACCCCTAAACAGTATTGGTGAAACAACGATCAATACCCTTGATGAACATGATCTTTTGTTTCTTATTGATGTTTGAGTTCAGAACACCCTTTTACCTTTTAAAATTACCAGAATTTTGAACAACATTCATGGGCATTCCATGAATCCATGTTGGGCTGCCCTGTGCAATAGTTTCCATGGATCCAGAGCTCAACAGGTATACACTGTTGAACGATGGATAAGATCTTATTCGTGGTTACCCCAGTTCATTTTGGATATTCTGGGGAAATGCAACATTGCTGTTGTTCATGGTCCACCACACAAGTCTATGAGAGGAGCCCTGCTTAGCCTCATATAAGCCCTGTCATGATCAGAGAGCAGCTTCTTCCAAAGATTGATAAGTTTATGAGATCCCACCTCAGTAACTGGGATGGAAAAACTATCGATATCCAAGAGAAAACGAAGGAGGTTAGTTGAATCTTTAGAACCTAAAACAACTCTGACCCAGAAAATTAAGAACCACATTATCAACTAATCGCAGCTAAATTTCTTTGTTGATTCAGTTTACATTTCCATTAAATAAACTATAAGATCCAGTGAACAACGGTAAAGGTCTTATGGTTAAATAGCAGGAGAAGAGAAGCAAAAAAGAGAAAAATTTTAAGCTTCCCAGAATCAATAGATCATTCAACGAATCATTGGGTAGAATAAAAACATGCATAT